TTTTTTCTTTCGTGTAATTCAATGTTTATATGAAAGTAGCTGTTTCAGGAGGACTTTCTTTCAGTTTGTGTCTGAAAGTTACTTCTTTGCATGATCTACACATCCATGTATAGAGTTACTTATTTTCAAATTGATTACTTCCTTCCTTTCTTTGGAAGATTCTCTCATCCATTTTTTTGTATCAGATGGAGTAGTAGAAAGCCAAAAACTTTCTTTCCCAAAAAAACATTTCATTATTCTTTCAAGACTGATTTTACTAATTCTCTGGGTAGATTGGTGAAAAGAGAAACTGATTATGACATAATTTTCTGGAAGTTTTTTATTGTTAATGAATTCACTGAAAGAAAATGAATTTTCAACATAAAACATATTATTTGTGTTATGAGCATCTGTGAGAATTTTAGAAATGAATTGATATTAGTAGATTGATATTATTAGAATTTATAGAGCATATAATGGGTCTCAAAGAAAGTACTGGTTTATGTATTTTTGGTAGAGAATAAAATCTAGGTGCTACAGAATTATATTTGTTTAAAAAAATTTTATCATGTATATATTTTTTATTATGAAGTTTTGAAACTAATTTATTTGCTTTTTGTTCAAATGTACTTGTTGGATCTGATCTCAAAGGTCTATAGTAGGTTTCATCATCAATAAGTAGTTGACTTTTTTCAATATAGTCTTTTTTATACATATCTACTGTGATATTACCTTTATCACTGTACAATATCGAAATTTCAGGATGTTCTCTAAGAAATTTTTTGCATTTTTCAAATAATGGTAATAGAAAATGTGAGTTTCTACCGTCTTAGAGTTCATATTCATATCAGTGTTTGTAGGGCAAAAACTAAACTTTTTTCCTAATGCTAGTATTTGTGTAACTCCTAATGGAATTTATAAATCTGTAAGATTTTCAAACCATCTATCATTCACTTTTAATCTTGAGATTTCATTAAATTTAAGTTCTTGAAATTTATGTATATTTCTCATTTTTATCTCATGAAAATCTCTATTGAATTTTGTGATAGATCTTCGTTTAAATTCAGAAATGATGTGATTAGGAATTATGTTAAACTTATCTTGAATGGTATCAATCTCTTTGTTAATTTTATTGATATCACTTATGGTAATGCTGATTTCCAAATTAAGTATTNTATTTACTAACAACTCACCGTCATCCATGGCTTTGCTCCAACTCTTGAGAATAAACCAATGATACTAGGCAGAAGGAAAGTTATCACCGGAATGAAATATTTGTCTGAAAGTGATGATAAACATTTAATTATGCATTAGTATTTCATTTGATATGGAATACTTTATGTTCCATATCAAATACTTTGACTACTTTCAGATGAGGTAGTGCCTATTCATTCAGTTAGTTTTTTCCAAGATATTTTTTATAGATAACATGCATTTTTCATCAAACCTGGAACTGATTATTCTATGGTTATTTTCATATTTGAATTTGGTTAGAATGCACAAATTGCAGTATTTATAATAGTAAGAATTTTCCTGGTGAATATATCAGTATGAAAAAAAATCTTGTGTAATACAGTCGAAATACCTCACGTTTATAGTATATTACTCTACTGTCACCTCAGAAATGGATTCAAAGTTCGGATGAAGCAAATTCTAGACGGCAAGGTAAGGATTGAAAATCATTCTATAGAATCTTTGAATAATTTTGAGAGCCTAGACCCCTGAGGGGTCGCTATTTCGCTATGTCAGCAATGCCTGGTATTGAATCATTAATGCGTTGTGTTTGGGCTCTGGTTGACAACTATTTGCCTTATAGTGGAAGTCAGAGGACGAATTTCATCGGCATTCGATATCAAAGCTCAGCTTTGCAAGTGACCGCCTTGGGGAGCCCCGCTCATCTTCGATATTCGAGGATTGAGTTCTGTATCAATCACATAGGTGGTGTTGTCGTGGGGGAACTTACTCGTTAACTTCAAACTCTTCAGTCAAAATTTCACAGTGGACTGACTGTACCGATTAGTTACATACATTAACTATTCACCAGTGTCCCCACAGCTCACTATAACTGTTTAAAGAAGATTTCAACAAATAGGCAGAAAAAATCCAATGTAGGTATAAATTACCCACATAATAATGATAGTGGGAAACATCTACTGAATGACGTTGGTCAGAGATTTTGACTTGACTTGACTTGACGGATTTTGAAAAGGATCAGAAGGAGTTAACCTGGATAACATACATGAATCAATTATGATTTGATGAATTGATGTCCCGGCAAAAAGTAACAAACAATTGGTCCCGCGAATAAATGTCGCACACAATTGAACGTCTATCAAAAGGTCGCCGGTCAAAAAAATGCGCTGCATGCATACATTTGGTCGTGCAAGAAAGCGTCGCGTTAAAAATATAGCGATAAAAATAACAATGCTAAACGGAAATCCTACTTCTCAAATTATTACAGAAAATTGATTGTTGTTATGAAATTTCTTAGATACATATAGAAATGACAGCAAAGAACATTCAAACCCAAAAGAGTATCCATCTGTTCATTTATCTATTTACTTGCCCTATACTACAATAGCTTTACGGGGTCGATTTTTCAGTTCGCCACTGATCACCTTGAATATATTCTGTATTGATCTATATCCATTTATTTTCCAGATTGTTAAGGGTTCGCAATTCATTAGGTGAAAAACCTCATTTTCCAAGAGGAGATGTAGCACCTATAGTTCTCATGAAAGTATTTTTAATTTTTTTAAGTTCGTTCTGTAATCTTTGAGAATTTGGATTGTGAATTGAAATATGAATTGGACTCACCCGTCCAAGGATCGCCTCGTTTGTAATTTTCAGGTACTATCAATATCAAAATGGTAGGAGAACACCAGGCAAATGTAGGCAACCCCCATATCATCGGAACAAGAAAAGGCCACATCCTTTTTGAAACGTCCTTCAGTACTGATAAAGATGGCATTGGTTTTCGTGTACTTTCTGAAGTATCACCCATATAAAATTGGAATAGTGGAAGGTATTTTGTTGAATAAGCCGCTAGCACAGTCACAATCAATATCGACGTACCGACAAGGTAATACATCAAACCCACTTGAGTAGAATTTCCACCGGAAGACAAACATATTACCTGAAGTACAGAGCTGAAAATTCCCCCTGTTGTACTTCCATACATGTGGAATTTCAAATAAGCTGTCGGAAACTTTGCGATTATCGCAAAATGTGTGACTCCCAAAAGGATTCCAGCAACTGAAAAATAAATATCATAAGAATAAAAATGAACTCACAACAAAACACTCCTGATTGAGCATTTCAAGTTTCATATTTGGAAATTTTAGAAAATTAAGTAATACAATATTGGAGGTGATAGGCTCATATTCTTGAATGAATCAATATAACGTACTTATATTTCCTACCGAAAAGAATATCAATTTTCAGAAACTGACCTCTTAAGACAGTAATCACAATGAGATGTATCAGCAGCTCATCTTCGTGAACGCGATATATTTTCTTTCTTCAAAGTAATGATACTTAGATACATTGAAAAGTACTCACTCGAATTCACTACAGTGACCGCCATGGTGAGAATGAAAAAACCCATCTGCCCTATAACATAATGAAATATTTTGATATGACTTCAAGAAATAAAATGAAACGAAATTGAAACCATAAAATATCACCCGAACACGATTATGGGTACTAACAATCAAAACGTCGTGAAGCATTTTGGTTTGGAATCTTTTGATTTTTAATTTTCATTTCTTGTTAATTCTATAGTTGAATTTTTTTGATTTTTCTGTTGTTGCTTGTATTTTATTTTGATGTAGTTTCAGTTTTCTGCTTGATATAATTGTTACTTTTTCAGCTAATCTTTTTTGATTCTCAACAGATTCTTTCAGGGATTTCTGAATAATTTATATCATATCAGACAATGGAAGTCCGAACTGATGAAATGCATCACGATTTCTATTATTCCATACAAGTCTTTTCAATGACCAACTATTTCTAGCAGTTGTTGATGATGGTGAAAAATATACCAAAGCAAAATCGATTGTTAACATTTACAGATTCATTCTTTATATTTGTACTGGTTCCATAATGGGACATTCGTTAAGTGGGTGGTAGAGATTTATGCAAATTAAGTTAAATATAGTATAATGAAAATTATTTTTGTCCAATTTCTACTGAGTTTATTATTCATTACGACCGGTTTCCATTTATTAGACCAAAATAGACTTATGAGTATTCATTTTCAACCAGTCAAAAATAATGCCTCAAAATGAATTCGACAACGACAATGTTGATGCAATATTCTAATAATAAATAATCGTTTTTTTTTTTATTCATGCACTCATTGCACTTTATCCTAAAAATGAAGAAAAATATTTCGTTGGAATTTTTAATATTTATCACACGTAATATCTGGAACATTTATGGTTGAAAAATCACGTGAAAAAAATATTATTGACGAAATTATTGATTGTCTTCCTCACAATGTAGATAATATACATAACTGTTGAAAATTCAACTCAATACAAACTCTTTATAGCATTAGCTTCAATTCAATTCAATTCTCAAGAGAGAAAACTGATTTCAGAGTTATACTGAATCGACAGTTTGACCTTGAACGATTCAACCAGCTATTATTTATTTGATGAGGATAAATTTGAATCATTGGTGAACAATTTGTGAACAAAAAGGACGTTATATACTCGAACGAAAAATGCAGAGATACATTCAATAAATAACTCCAATATCTATCGAGTACCCACTTGGTGGGTTCGATATTTAGGATTTCTGATAAAAAAACTCTACAACTCAGTTCGTTATCTTCGTTAGATGAAGCAAGTTCAAAAGTTTAAAATTAATGCTGATTACCTCTTGAAGGGTGAGGTTGTAGACAGAAAACAGCTCAAAACTGATCTCAATCTGCAGCTGATTGATGAAATCAATTCAAGGATAACTTCGATGTATCCCTGACGTTTTAGTTCCATCCCCGATGATTATATCCATCAAAGCACTTTCAACATTTGTGCCATAGGTATTAGGTGAATATTCAATGTATTCTTTCATATCATTTAATAAACGATAAATGTTTACGAAAAAGCCACGCAAAAGTGCATTTTCTTTATTAAAAATGAGAAATTTAAATTTCCATATTTTTAACCACTTTTATCTATACTCTTCAAGACCAACGTAGGTATTCAAAAACACTTCATTGTGAAATTTCCGCTAAACTGTTTTACAAAACGCAACACGTGTTTCGCCATACTGTGGCTTCTTCGGGCGTGTCTTTACTTTTTAATGAAAATCTCAAAATAAACTGTTTTTTGAATAAGTTAGTTATGAATGTTTATCAAACATCGGAAAACTCCATCATATATCTTCAAAACCACTCACAACTTGAAGTTAATGTTATACTCCCAAGTGAGCTTTGAATCAGAAAAGGTAAATTATTCATTTGCCGAACGAAGTTGACACCGCCTTTTTTCTCATATCTCTTAAATATCTCCAAGACTTGTATTACAAGTGATAGTCCACTGTATTTATTGAACATCGTGAATTGAATGATTCAAAACAGCAAGTGTTGACTTCATTTCGTAAGTGCATTTATCTGTCTGAATTCTAAGATTATAAAAAGTTTTTCAGAGGACATATAGAATGTTGATCAACATATTTTATAACTTATTTTATTTCCCGAATACTTCTGAAAATGTGAACGAAATCTCAGATTTTTCATTATTGGATTTTTGTGTGTGCTCCTGTCGTAGATGCTCATAATTATGCAAGAAATATCAATGTATGATACCTAGGCTCAGTGTAGTCGCGTCAACAGTACCGGATTCGATTATTTGTTTTTGAATTAATATTTTTGCTGTTATTCAAAAACAGAAACCTTTTACAGCAGGGACAAATTCATTTTTATTGTTCAAACAATATGCATGATGAAAGTGGTAAAAAGTAAAGGAATTTTCATTTCTCATTATTCATGATGATTTCTTAACACATATTAAAGGCAATATTCATCAATTCTATATGAATATCGAGCCTAAAATTATGAGCATCTACAAAGAGTAGCACACACAAGAAACCAATAATGAAAAATCTGACATATCGTTCACAGTTTTGAAAGTCTTGGAGCATTTTGCAAATATGTTGAATAACTTTCTATATTTTCTCTCAGAAACTTTTCATGATTCAGCTAAAAAAATGTACTAACAAAATGAAGTCAACACTCGCTTTTACAAATCATTCAAATCACGATGTTCAATGAATACAGTGGACTATCACTTATGATACGGGGTTTGGAGATATTTGAGAAATATGGAATAAAGTAGGTGATAACTTCAAGTCATTCAAATAACGATGTTCAATAAATACAGTGGACGATTACTTGTAATACAAGTCTTGTAGAGATTTGAGAAATATGAAATAAAGTCAGTGTTAACTTCATTCGGTAAATGGAGTCATACTTGGGAGTGTAACATACTATTCTGTCAACCGTTCCTAGAGTATGCCAATTCATCTGTTAGTATCTTTGTACAAAAATTGAATCACAATGATATCATGTGATGTACGAGTATGATTTTGAAATAGGCCCATTTTTCAACGTTATTTGTATTTTTAGTTGATGATTTCTGCCTGCACGTATGTATAATGCTAACTGAACATAGCAGAAGGGTTGGAAATAACAACTTCTTCAAGATTTCATGATGTTCACAACGTCAAAAAATATATTGAGAATAGTTGAGAATTGTAAAAGTAAGATACTCCAGATGAAAAATTGAGATCCCGATAAAAAATCAAAAATAAGAAGTGAATCAATGCCAGAGAAAAGTGTGCCTAAACCAAAGTATTCTGTTAACAGAATCCTTAGTTAACAGATACGAAAACTACAAGAGTTATAGAAAATCATTGAACGCAAGAGTTTGACATATACTGAAATACATACTTGATTACTGAAATCATGGATGACGTTCTACATCTGCGATATTACAAATGAATTTCAACAATTTGAAAAAATAAGTTTGTATGGAATCATTCATTCCGGGTTCGATTTCTTATATTTTGTGTATCGATATATGAAATTTCAAAAATAGAATTAGGAATACAAAATTTTCACATTTTTTGCCACTGCGCTATAGAATTTTTTTTATAGAAATCAAGTAATCAAAAATACTCACATGAATCTGTATCAACAACAACAAATATTGTAAAAAGTATGAAAGTTCCAGTTAAAACTGAGAGGGTGCTCAGCAAACGGAATCTCACGTCCAGTTTGTGTCCAAACATTGAAACCAATATAGTTGTCACCATAGTGGGAATGGAATGGATAATAGAACTGATCGAGGCAAAATTTGTCTGTAAATATGTTTTGTTTCTCGGGTCATAGTGATCTTGACTGACATCCCTGAATTTGAACATCCAATACTGTGAAGAAAAAATTTCATTCAATACATAATTGACATCAAACTATTTTTTAACTTTTCACTATACCGGCGAATGTGAATTAACAAACAACTCATTACCAAAAAAATAATGGACTGAAGATATTGGCATCCCAATTTGACCACTGAAGTTCAAATGCATAGTAGCATAACGCGTAGGGTTCAGTTCAAGTAGTAGTGTACACATTAATTCAGAACTTTTGGTGAAATCAATTCGAATAGTATTATGTTGAGCATTTTCCAAAAATGCTATTCCGTTCACAGCAGAAGTGACAAATATCAAATGAAGAGATGCGCGAAATAATTAGCATGTAAAGTTCACCTGAAGCTTATTTTCTCAATACATTGATAATAAATTTTCCCCTGGTGAACATTATTTTCTGTATATTTTTGGCCGGAGGTGAAAACCGTTATAATAACGTCATGGAAAATAAGCATTCAAAAAATGAAATGGTATTACAAAACACGTGTCGTTTATTAATGTTAAAACACCTCACTACATTCATATTATACACAACCTGGATTCAAATAGATCACCTTTATTGAATTTGTTCTCTTGAAACCGATGAAGTATAATTATTTATTGATTCAGAATTGATGTAATATGTAACAGGTGATCATCATTGAAGCCTTATATAGTATATAGGAGTTGTAGATGTTCTAGGGAATTTGATCGAGTGAGTACCTAAGTAAGTAGTTTCAATTATGATTATGTATAGCATATAAATATCAGAATTCGAATTAACATATGATGAACTACGAAAAAGCTACTATCTTAGCGGAACATGTGATATGTTTCTTTAAATGAAGTTTGTGAAGATCAAATCGTTAGGTGTAGTTATGAAATTGCTATGCATCTCCATCAAGTAACGGCTGAATCAATCAGAAAAAAAGATAATTATTTGTATATAGAGTATGATGTAAATGGATATTTCTATTATTTTTGATAAGGGAACAGCAATGGTTCGATAGTTTTCATCTTTCTTGAATATGGAAACTGTTTTTGCTAGTTACAATCTATCGGGGAATTTTCCTAGGAGAACCGACTGGTTTCTTGTAAGATATGAAGTTATTTGAGATACAAATCTTTCTACAAGTTTGATTGGAAATTCATCTATGCTGGTGAAGATTTTACTTTTCAACCCCAGAATGATATTTTTTATATTCATTTCGATCATTGGAAAATACCGAATTTCTTTGAGGAAATTCAGCTGTAGAAGATCCTTCAACAGATGGAGTTATAGCTTGCACCAATCCAGTGACTGACGTTGCAGAAAATATCTGAATTCAATCGCAGTCAACTGGAGATCATAAGTAATATTGTTATTCACCCTCAAAGTCCCCATATTCATTTTCAACAAATCACTAAAATGCATTTTTTGACTTTTAGTATTGCATCCATCTATACTCGCAAAATTGAATACTTTGTACAGTCAATTCATAGATGAGACATATTATTATGGGGCGATATTTTGCCTACTAAAATATTTGGATACTGAAAACCTGCGAGATTCGAATCTTTATAAAATTATCGTACTGTAAAGTGTGGATTCACGGCTACAGTCTTATTGAACATTTCCACTAACCATAGTTCTACGCTAACATGTCCTGATTCTTCGTATTTTCGATACATTTTTTTACGATAGATTGGGAATTTAATTCACGTTCTGACGAAATTTCGTGAAATAATCTTACGTATTCCCCATTATTTTATCATCATCGATCGAAAGTGTAATTGCAATTCTCCCCTTTTCAGATGAACGCATTTTCATAAAACAGTTTTGAAATATTAACTTCCGTATTTAAACACCAGAAAGCTGCTCGAAATAGGGCTCATCAGTAATGATAGCCTAAACTACAAAAGGTTGAACCTGAGAAAGTGAAGGCGATCTTTTCTTACGAAGAGATCATTTATGTGATCGATAGAATACCTCATTCAACTTTGACATTTGGATCTTTAGTCGATGCCATAAATGTCGTCTTCGTAGAAGTAGAAAAATATGTCATCACCTTTACAGTTGAGTACAGTAGTGCATTCGTTGTTCAGCATAGTATTAATGAGACATATGCCTGGTCGAAACAGTGCTATCTAGTGTCAGATCACTTTTGAGCTTTCGATTCAACTAGTCGCTTTTCAGTGAAAGCTACAGTGAAAGACAGAGAACGAATTTCGTTTGACGGTCTTTGTCGAAACTTGCACAAGTTTGTAGAGACCCATGAAAGGACAGCGTTTTGCGATGATTGAGGAGATAAACACCAAATTGCTGAGAGAACACTGGCACAAGTGTATTATATTTGAGGAGCACTATTTTTAAGGACACAAAATAGAAATTAATGATTAAATGGATATTTTCTGGGAGAAAATAGAATTTGCCACATTATATACCTCAACACAGGTGGAATTATATTTTATTAAGAGACTGAAAGGTCATGTGATTCAAGTTCTTACATTATATAATGCACTTTTTAAGAGAAATTCAGTTCATATGAGCACGCCTGAAGAAGTTATTATTCAGTGAAACACGTAATGGATTTTGCAAACTACGTCTCACGATGAAATGCTATTAGACATCAGTTCATGACATAAAAACAAACACTATTTCCATTCATTTCTGTGCACAGGATCATTTCAGGTTGCTTAGAAATAACCGACTGTGAGAAATAGTTGCGTTATATTTTAATATGGAAAGAAATAAATTTCACTCAAATTTTCAGAAACGATCTTATTGTTGATATTTCAAACTTACATCTGTCAAACGGCCAATCTGTATGAAAAGAAGCTATTCATTGGGGAAACTTTTGAAATCGTCGGAGTTTCGTCACAACTGATAGCTTGATTTATCGTAATTGTGTTCATTAATGATATAATGATATATTAGCCTCTGAAACTTGTATAACTTTTAGGTTCTTTTTTGATAGGCAAAATTCAATACAACAATTTTTGTGATGAAACAAACATTATTCCTTGTGGAAAATACTCTGAATTCATGCAGTAACTTTCAGAAGTGCACTGAAAAGTTTACTTTTCTACTCCTACATGAAGTTCTCTATTATAATTCGAATTTTTTTCTGCTTTTAGAAAGTGAAAACACATGGAATAGACAAGAAACTGTGATTTGTACCACAAAATACAAGACACGTAATAGTGCATTCAGATTGTTCAGATCTTCAACCAGATAATATATGTGGGTTCGAAATTAAATACATTGAAATATCACTTACATCAGTAGCGGTTAGGAAAAAACTTCCCGGAACCATTCCTCCAAATCCTAAGAAAAAGAACACGAAGAGAACTAAATTATATTTATCCTTCGGTGGAATTTTTTTCGGATCTTCGTTAATTTGGGATAAACGGAGCTCAGACAACAGTGAAACTGTAAAATAATTCATTTTCATATAATAGTGTGAGTATTTTAAGTTCTTATAATCAAATACAATTATTTGTTCGAATTACATTTTTTTTAAATTTCGCAATGCAAATGTTTTAGAAAAACAAATACTGACTCTTAGTGTTAGTTCCAGTAACTCCATTATATTTTCATAACACATAAACACAAATTTTCAGAGAAATGCAATACCAACTACATAGTTTGTTGAAATGGATTTCATTTCAACGGAAAAAAATTGGCGAAAATCTGTTTTTATTGTCCTTCAGACCAATTTGTTAAAATAATTCTATGAAGATAACAAAAAATGATGATACATACTCGTAGAGGTGGACAGTTCCACAAGTCAATATTATTCAGTATTGCAAGAAATGTGGTGTACATTATGAAAATGTACATTCTAAATAGATTATTATTATTCTCCCGAGGGTACTCAAAATTGTGTAACACTTTTTGAACGAATCGAAGTCATTTTATTATTTTACTGAAAACACCAGTATATTTATGATATTGAAATTTTCGATATGTAACACACGATGATCCGATAGGATGTGATTATTCAATATTTCAATTTTTCATCTTTATTGAAATAAACTTTCAACAGATTTTGTCGTGAATCAATACATCGATTACAGCATTACCAGTTCAATATATCATACATATTTTATAAATATATTATACAGGGTGTCCCTGGACTTCCTCTTTTCCTCTCTTTTTAGGAAAAAAAGTTATATGAAGTACTGGTGATATTTTGACCCCGTCTATACATTCCCGAGAGGAAAAGAGGAAGTCCAGGGACACCCTGTATATAAAAAATTACTCATATTATGTAGATATGCTAATTTATAATTCCATCATATTCTTCCAAAATATAGGATACCTACCATCAATTAGAAATGTCTGAAATACGACATTATAGCGTATGAGTCACAGAAAATATGTTAGAAAAGAATATTAAGCAGAAGAATACAGAAAATAGTACTCTATCAATAACAGCTGCGGTCATGAACTGTATATAAATTATAAAAATACCAGGAAGAACTACTGTAGTGCAAGGAACTGCATGTTCATGTATTTTATACATGAAAGATAAACCCATTTCTGAGAATCGAAATGCACGGATGTTTGGACATCAAAGTCGGACAGATTGATAACAAAAATCATCAAGTTGACGAATATTTGAAAGAAATGAAACGATTACTCGATAACAAAATTTTATGAGTGAAGTAGACATACGTAAAATTCTTCGGTGTCATCTCAATGTGTGTTGGGGTGAAGTGAAAGACGAATGATGAAAAGTTGAACCTGTACTCGATAATTGAGAAAATACAAAAATTCGGATGTTTTTGGAATGTCTCACATTTCCGACAAAGCTGTAGATGATAAGTGAAATTCTCTTCCATATTTCATCTATTGGCATATGCTCGCAGAAAGATGATTATAACAATGGATTAAAATGCTCCAGTTGATGAAATGCCCTTCTTTTTTAGCATACCCAGTATGATCCCTACGCGCGTTCACACTGTGAACAAAATGGATGTAGTGCACTACCGTTTCAATGAGCTTTCAGACAGACAAGTATTTCAGAAATACTGGATTAATTGCTTCTTTTTTTGAATTTGTAGAGAGTTACCACCTAGTATCCTGTTAGATTCAGTGGGATGATTTTAATTGACGATATGCAACCCATGTTCTTTCATGGAACGCCCCAGTATTTGAAATACAAAGGCAATGAGTTATCTAATATATAATTTATTACAGATAATGTCTGGAAAAATATGGAACGGAGACTAGTGGGCGATGACCGCAAACTGAATGTTTCTAGGATGTGAACTTATCAACTAGAAGAGCGTCTACGATTGTACATGAAAAATTTGGTATGATAAAGGTCTCTACCAAATGGGTGCCGCATTATTCACAATAGAACAAACTCAATAACGAGTTGACAGTTCAGAGAACTGTTTGTTACTGTTTCTGCAAACAGTAGAAAGGATGAAATATCAATCCTCAATTTCACTTCAGAGACGTAGCGGAAGTCAGCTGAGTGGCATTCAGTTGGTGGAAGCCATCTGAAACTTCTAAAATCGCAATAGTCAGATTGTTATATCATGGCATCATTTCGTGCTAAGCACACGGTATAATTCATAAAGACTACCTCCAATCAACAGCAGCTAATATATCGAGTTAGTGGCGTAGTTGAAGGAGACAAAGACCTTACATGGAAAAGAAATAACTTATACCTCAACAAGACAACATTGATGAAATGATGGCTGAATTGTTTATTTTGCACTGTAGAAAAAAGTTTCATGTATTGTTTATCATAGAAAACTTACCTCTTCTGAACTCACTCTCATTGAAATGTTTCAAATCTTCCATATTTCACACTTTCCGGACAGACACTACTGGACTGAACTTTTTGATTCAAAATATCAGTAAATATGTTGACGAATATTTATCTCACATAGAATCACCACGTCAATATCGTAATAATAGCACTTGAATTATTCTCAAACTGGAATACTCATAATTCATTAACTACCCAATCATCTTCATCATCATCAAATATCTGAAAATACTGGTTGTTTAGATACATTTCAATCTATTTGATCCAACTCCAATGTTTGGAATACAAAGTGTTTTTGTATAGTTCATATGGAAGTAGTTGTTTCGAAAGTAGTTTTGAAGTGAAACTTTTTCACGTGTGCTTGATTTGGGGATTTAGTTGAAGATTGCGTAACGAGAACGTTACGAAAAGTGTGATCGGGCGGGGCGAACTGAAGTTGAGAGAAAGGTATATGTTAGTGAAGGTAGAAAGGGAGAGAGAGTTACGTTTCGTATATTATCAGAGAAAAGGTCGCAAAGCGGAGGCTGTTACAAAAAGCTGCGGACTTACTCAAATTATAAATGAGCCAACCTGGATTCCTGACCATGATGGAGAATATGCTAGTCTTCTAGATCTATACCTAACAACCAATCCAAAAATTCACACAGTCACCGTAATGTCTCTATTGGGAGCTTCTGACCACAAACTCATTTCAGTGTTGAGTGAATTATCGATAAATGTTGGGGTGCAATCTGAGCCGCGCAAAGTTTGGCATTACAGATCATCTGAATGGGAGGATATTCAAAGCCATTTTCGAAATTTTCACCGACTGGATATTTGTATCAGCTCTAAAGATCCATCAACGACATCAACGGCAGTGGCGCAAAAATCTCAGTGCCGAAAACTCAACTAGATTTGTTAAAGCTCGCAACAGCTGCAAACTTGGAAAAATAAAAATAAAAAACTTCACAATCAGAGAATTAGGAATGAACAGCTTGCCAATCCCAATATATCTAGATCCTTCTGGTCGGTAGCTAAAGATGTTAAACAGAACAGTTGTGGAATTGGCCGCGGTGGTAGTGCGCCCGACTCACGATCGGAAGATCGTGGGTTCGATTCCTGCCTTAACCAGATATTTTTCTCGAGAGAATTTATCTGGTTGAAGCGGGGATGATTCTGCAACCGTGTTAGGAATCACACATTAGAAGGTAAGACCTCGTTAGTCCTTTGCTCGCACAAGTTTATCAACTTGTAACCTTACCAATCGATGACAAGGGTACAAGTCACCTGTCAACTCAACCCGAGACAGGTGGGTATTTGTGACTAGTCTCAGTGAAGAGAGGTTCTTGAAAGATATTTCAAGATTTAGATTTCAAAAAAAAAATAAATGGGCGCCAAGTAAATTGCCTCACAAACACCCTGAATGTGTCAATACCACTAACTTACCAAATGATATGAAACAACAGGTACCGGTTTGAAAATTTATTCCAAACTTGAAACCACTTGTATCTATATGAGGTATAAGTCTAAGCAATTCCAGCAAGTAGATTATACACTTTAGACCAGACAAAACAAATCATATATATATATCGGATATCGGATATCGTAGATCAATAATTATTTTTCGGGATTGTAAAAGATTATTCTACAAATAGACATGTACATATCAGAAATACGCGACGGACTGTGGCTGCTCATCGTTTTAAGGTACAACTCAGTAAACCTCGAACTGCAGTATTTAAAAAATCTTTCATCTGAAGAACTGTGAAATAAACTCCCTGAGAACGTGTTTCTTTCCAAATGGATTTGATCTCCAGCATTTCAAATCCAATGTGAATCGCTATTTTCGCACAGGCAGTGCTCTAATAGCGTCTCAAGGATTTTCCTGTAGCGCTTGTGTCTTGTCCTCAAAAAAAAAATAGAGAGAGACGTGCGAGCACACACTTATGGTCGAGTAAGCTTGGAAGGGTGAGGATAAAACTTTCATACGTTACTAATCCAAGCACTCGAACATAGACAACTCTTGGTAAACTTCCTGTGAGATAAATCAGAACTTCGAATGTAATAACTGAAATGAGCCTACCACAAGCCATAGAACAACAATCACTGCAGTTTTCTTTAGGTATCTACCTGTTTTCAGTCGAAAAAATATGTATCTTATTTCTTATACCATAAGCCTATTGACTCGGTCTTACAATCAACCACAGTAATTACTGTTATTACAGTATCTGATAATAAAATAGTGGATAGAAATACAATATCAGCTAACTCACGCAACTTCTCTTTTCGATCATTCGAAACAATTTTGTAGATTTCTTCATTTTTTCTGCACGTCCACTGCGTTCTGCATTATCGGTGTTTCTACGACCACGTTTGAAGTTGGCAAACCAAAATTCAACTATTTTGTCTGATGGAGCAGAGTCCTTTTCAAGCCATTTCCTCGCTTGAACGGTATTTTTTCCTATCAAGATTCGGTGTGAGATTAAAAAAAGGAATTGTTTTGATCTGTTGTTTTGAAAATAACAAAAGTAGTGTCACTTTCAGTACACTAACTTACAAAAGTAGTGTCACTTTCAGTACCCTAACTTACAAACTTATGAGTAGAAATCATGAAATTTCAATAGATTCCTTTTGAAGGTCAGTAATAGCTGAAAAAGTGGTGGATGCAATAAGACTTGCGCCATCTATGTGTTATGCCTGAAACTTTCCAGACCATGTAGTAATTCGGGGCCAGCACTTCTTGTTATATTTAAAATCTTTATTGTTATATTACTTCAAGTGAGCTATATCCGTTATTATTTCTCAGAAAATGATGACATATTGAATCAATGTTTGTTTTCAGGTTTGAATGTATCTGCAGGATAATATATTACATCCGTACACCTGATGATTCTGTTGAACGATCATTCATTCTTTGACAGATTCACATTAATTTTTACTAAGGAAGACCAATATATTAGATAAAACCAAAGATGTTCATTTCATTTATTTTGCAAAATTTAATTTTTCACACATATCAACCCTAACTCAGTTAATATCTGAATTGGTACATCGTAAACTGACTTCGCCTAATCAATATCCATTAGTGCTTGAACTCTGAAAAGCCTTCCAATAATTGCGACAAGATCTAATGCAATATATTAATTTCCAGGAAACTCCCGGATCCTGCCCGTAGAAACCTTCGTGAGGAAATGAATTCAAAGGACCTCTAGGAAACCCAACAGACACCTTATCGTTTAATTGGATCAGAGTTTATTGTTCAGCCCAGAGTACACTTACAGGCGTCTAAATGTGTTACTTCGATTGCCTGATCGAATTGTGGACGTAAAAATGTGATTAAATCGTAAGATCATATATCTCGCGGGACAATGTTCGTTGCGTTTTGGATATACTGTGTTCTCTGTTGGACGATCATCATTGAATGCACCAAGACGGCCCCATCTCAGCCACCAGATAAAATTCAAGGTGAGTGCGTGAGCAAATTTTTGTGATCAATATCATCAATATCATCAATATATTGAAAGTGTAACTGATAATATTTTGTACTATTGTGGTGTAATGCGCTCCTTACACTAATCGGTTTATTATTGAAAAAAATGTTATGTCAGTTCAATGAATCAAGTTTAAACATTGATTTACTGGTTTACAAACGATATTTATGAGGGATAAATTCATGAAGAAATTACGCTTCTCGAAAGGCTGAGGAGTCTTGAGCATGGCAATAGTTGAACAAAATATATTGAATTGTTCGGTTAATTATCCATAGGTGGAATGCTTTCTGCCGACACAAGTTGAAACTATTCCGATTTACGACTTCATTTCGTTTGACGTATCTATGTGTGCTCAAAATTAATTCATATAATGAATGTGTGACTGACTTTTATCTGAACGTGAAAGATATTTGAGAAAAACTATTAGTGTGCAATAATTTTAGAAACGAGTAACTGATTCCGTAGTCACTTTCACTCTCACATTGTGGTAAGCTCCACTTAGCATGTATAGTTTGAGTTATTTCATTTAGTTTATAAATAAAAAACTCATGTCAATTAGGAGTATCACGTTGAACATCAGTTGGAAGAAAATACAATCAACATACTGTTCAATTGATCTGACGGAAACTTTGGTTGACAATCGATGATTTGTGTATGATTTTCTAATAAATTGAAGCTGGGCAAATACATGAGAACAGTTTGCTTCAAGTAAAATGCTAATATGTCACAAGAACTAGCTAGATCGAAATATTTTTATGAAAATATGAATAATGAAACTTCTTGTTGGCGGTGAAAAAAAAACGGCTTGAAGTGGAAAAATTGGTGTCATATTTCAGTGATCATTTGTCACTTCATTTTCCAGAAAAAATGTTGTTAGGCGATGTTTCGGTCTCATTCAATAATATTTTGTGATAGAAACAAATATCTTTATGTTAAAAAATATGATAGAAATTCATTATTGAGGCTGAGGCATCAAATTTAGTGGTTCAACATTTTGGGTATATCTGCAAAAACACAAACAGATACTGAAAGGGGTATCAGAGTATTTTTCAGATATTTCATGAACAATTCAATTTTAATCATTTCCTTGATATTGATATGTGATTTTTCAACTTCCGCAAATATAAATTTCAATTTGCATGAAATTTTGTATTGAATCTCATTCTAACAATTTATGTTCTTGTCCATTAATTTGTGTCATATCCAACATAGTAATTTGGCTTCGAATATTTCGAATATTTCGAATATTTCAAATAGAAACATAAATTACATAAAATCAGCTATCAAGAAAATAAAGTTCATTATTTGAAAAAAGAGATATCCAAAATACATTATACTTTAGTTGTGAGATTTTATATCTATCTGTATTGATTTTACAGAATTCATTACAATACTAGGTTTGTTATGACTAGTTAATGATGATTGTAACATGAATTGAAGTGATGAATATTTCTTTCGAGCCCAATGGAAACTCTGTAGATATGGATCGTATTAAACCTCTTAAATTTCAGACCTATCATCAGTAACGTTAGTTTTGTGAATATTGTAGTTCATTATTCCGTAACAATTATGCATTGAAATGACAATTCTCACATAAGGAACTTATGCTATTATTTAGAAC